AAAAGTCTCGATCTGACGGGGCTATTTAAGAACATGTTATGGTCCGGTTCCTTGTACCACGGTGATAGTCCAAGGTAGAACCAATAAAGAAGAACTCGAACACAGATATGGAATAACACAGATATATTACAAACAGGAATATATACAGAGAAGTAGAAGTGTTAGTATGAACAACCAGGTTTAGTAGAGAGAACAATGTAGTCTCGACCAGTATCACTATTCCAATATCTTGTAGTAATTGTCTGAAAACGACTCTGTTTCAGACTGCCTCTGACTCGACTCTTGACTCGACTTGAACTACTGACTGACTTGAACTACTGACTCCTCCTTGCCTACTCCTGAGGCGCAGTATTTATTAAGTATGGAATAGTCCATTATTATTATTATAGGTAAGATCCCATAAAAGAACATGACTCGAGTATTCAGGTTAATGTTTTGGTTTTGTAGGAAATATTATGAATAGATAGAGAACTTAGGAAAATCTTTCGAAGAAAAAATGTAGCAGAATATGGAAGAGAAAAAGAAGAACATAGCGATATCAGTTATCAGCCTATATCTTTTTAAAGGAAACATCTGAAAGATATTGCAGAAATTGTTTTGACAGTTATCGGCTTGAGAAAGAAGGTCAGCTGAGTGAAGCAGACCTCAAAAGACCCTTGTCAAACGACTCTGACAAAGATTATCAGCTGAGTGGACCAGATTCAATGAATGACTTTTTTAGACGAAAGCTGATAGAACATAAAAGCCGATTATCTATAAGACGGTGGTCCCAATCAGCCAAAAACCAAAGACCGTTCGAACGCCAGGTGAAAAAGATGACACTCGCCCGTTAGACCATTTACCATCCTCACTCTGCCTCTCTCGCCGACAACAGAAGATTATAATTGAATAGTATTTTCCGGCTGCTACACTCTCGCCTCATGGTTTTATTTCTATGTATTAAGGCACAAGTGTTCGACCGGGAGAAACTGCACCCTGAGAACGAACCTGGTGTCTAGTCTGAGCTGCAATGCTACAAGAAGAAATAGAGAATTTCAAAAGAGGAAATCATTTTAAAGTAGTGTGAAATGTGAGTAGAAAAACAGTGGGAGGAGAACAGAAATATGTTATCGGAAAAGAGGAAATAGACAAAGAATAAGAGTGAGGTTAAGGATATATTCTTTTCTTTTTTTATATATATATATATATATATATATATATATATATATATATATATAAGGTGACACATTTAAAATTGAAAGAAAGTCAAGGCTTTAATATGACAATAAAATATCACTTTCAAATGCTCAAGTTGATTTAACTTCCTTCAACTCTGACTTTTATGCCCCTGCAGTCTTAATGTGTTGTTGTTAGTGGTGGTGTTGTGTGTGCGTGGGTGATTTTTAAAGGAAATAGAAAAAATGCCAAACCGGGGGAGGAGAATTATTGGCATGTTTTAAAAAGAGTGTTTCCTTCATCTTAACTCTGCTGCTTCTTATCGCATTCTTTAATCATTAGTAAACAGAACGGGCTAGAAAAAAAAAAAAAAAAAAAACGGTTGCCAGACAGATTCCATTTCGCAACACCAACATTGGGAGTTTTTTTTTTTATTCTTTAGATGCCTGACTAATTATGGTAAGAAAGGGCAACAATTAGAAACCACAGAGCTATATTTGTTAATTCTCTTATATACGCATGCGTACAGACAATCACAAGATATGTAACTACTGAATGGATCCAATATTGTTATACTATGGACACCCATGCAGAAAGTTTTTAGAAATGGTTTTATTTCGATCTTAAGTGTTTCGGTTTGATAGAACAACGGATGGTTGCCTTTGAAGCCCGGTCTTCTAAGCGACATCCAATTTAGCCGAGGGATATTATGAAGTGAAGGGATTTTCAGAGATCAAGTGGCAACAAAACCGGAAATAGGGTTTATCCGCGTGCTGGTCTAAATTAAAAATCATGCCTGGGATTGGGAAGAGTTTTGATCTGCCCTTCGCGAGAGACAGCTGGGCCTCCCGCGCGGTTCCGAAGATTCCATTTCGTATTTCCAGCCACCACGTCAGGATGAGTGGATAGGCAAGTCGTTACCGGGAAGAGCGGACATAGCAGAAGTGGTCCCAGGTATCACCTACCTACCCACTCGGTTGGGAAGTGTTTCAACAGAGGACGGAAGAGCGACACTGAAATACTAAGGTGTATGGAAATAACCAAGGAAGCATTCCAAAAGCTAAGCAGAGTACTAAGAAATAGGAAAATTTCGTTAGAAACAAGAGGACTAAACTGCTATTTGATATATGTCCTCCTGTATGACAGTGAGTGCTGAACGATCTCCTCAGATACGAAGAGGAGACTTAAAGCAACAGAAATGTGGTTCTACACTGGGGATACGCTGGGGATACCGAATATGTGATCAACGACCAAGTTTTAGAGAAAATGAAAACAAAAAGGAAACTAATACATAACATCAGGAAGAGACAGTTAATGTTTCTAGGACATATAAAGAGGAAGGAGGGCTTGGAAATTTTGATACACACGGCACAGATAGAGGGCAAGAGGGAAAGAAGAAAACAACGCATAGCATACTTAATTAGCTTGACTAAATAGATGACGGAACAGGGCTTGGGTGACATAAAAGAAAGTCAACGTTTAAGAGCTATAAGAGACAGGAAGTCATAATCGGCTACGTCTGAGGGGACAAAGCATACAAAGAAGACTCATCCAGACAAACAGAGAAATCCCTGAATAAAACACCTACATATAATATGAGAACAAGGGTTTGCGTTCTTATTTCTCAACCTGATGTTTTTTACTTTAATCGTGTTACATTGTGAGCGTGCATCGTGCCTTTTCCCAGCTTTCGTTGAACACCCGTAATATCGAAGAAGGAAATGCGTTGTCCGCTCAGCGGAAAGCTTGGGCGAGGGTCGCGTTATTTCTCTGGTAGCCTTCACTGTTGTCATGGCTTTCGGGTTTATTTATAATAGGATTTATATAGCCACCACGTCAGCATATAATTTGAAGACACTTATGACACTGAAATAACGAGAAGTCAAGGTTCCCCACATATGAGTTGTTTTCACTCAATACTGCGTCAAAATTGCATCAGAGTCTGGATCAACGTTTGATATTTCCAGTGCGGGCAAAGACTAACATACGTACTTAGCGCTCTTTGCCGTCCTGGATAAACTACATCCGCGTCCTGGGTAAGACGATAAACTACATTCGACAGCAAGGTTTCTGATCAGGAGGTTTTGAGGAGTGTGGAACCGCCTCTTAATTGCTGGTGTTCCCAGGTCCACCCTGACCACCTGTTAAGGTCTCAGCTATGAGCAAATTTTTAATCCCCAAACTGGGGTCAAAATACTATGAAAGTGTAAAAATAGGTTTTAATACCAGCAATACATTTCTGTAAAAAAATTATTACCAGCAATAAATTTTTGAAGAAACAATTATTACCAGCAATACATTATTACCAGCAATATATTTTTTAAAAAAATTCCAAAGTTAGTCAACTCGGTTGAAACTTCACCTTTTAGAGACAGTTCAGGCGCCAGGTAATTACACTATCTACTCCAGAAGAAGTGATACGGCGTGGAGAGACGAGCCCTCTGAGACTCTGGACTGGAGCGAAAAAGAGTATCTCAGATGAAAGGCGGAGAAACAACCGCGTAAATAAAAGGCAAGGATCAAAAATAAAATTTCTTTCAACGAAATTCCAACTCTTAACCATAACCCTAGAAATCCTTTTAACATAGACGACACGTTTACCAATTTGATAAATGAGAGCACCAAATAAAAGAGAACTAAATCTAAATCACTGATAATCCACTGTCTGTCTCAGAGTTTCATCGTTCGCCTATAGTCTTTAAGTTTCTACTACAGTCTGGAACTCCAGACAAACAGAATAACCGTGAATTGTGGTGACTTCATACCCAACCAATGGCACGCCCTTTAATGACTTCAGTCGTCGAAATTTCCACTGTTATCACTCAGCGTAAGAGTTTATTTAGCAATGAATATACAGAAGGAGTTCGGCTTACCCCGGGGTTCCGTTCTTACGATGCGACATAACGCGATTTTCCGCGTAACGTAAGAACGTTCCCATAATTTAACTTCCATGGTGATGGATTTTCTTTTTTTTTTTTTCAAAACACCGCAATCGGTAGAGTTTGCCCTACCTTAAGTGCCATAATAAAAGCCATTATGTTTCCACAAACACAACACAAACGAAAAAGAGCGAATGCACAACAATCCAATATGGCGTACATTAATTAATAGGGATTGCAACTTAACCACGGATCGTCGTAGGGACTGTCATAACCCGGTGGCTTATTGTATATAAAGTGGGATAGATAAGAGTTTCTCAAACCTCTTTCATTTAGGACCCCTTTATATCAGATCATTTGTTTTATGAACACACCGACAACGTTACAAACAAAATAATTACTAAGACTATAGAATGAGTCTTTAGTTGTAATCAAACAACTAAAGATAAAAGCAAATATAGTTCCAAAATAAGTTTATTTTTAGTTGGGTGGATATACCTCTTTATTTTGACACAATATGTCAAGTCATTATTTAATATACTCGACAGTTTCCAAAAATACACAGACATTTTGTTTGTCTATTGACGTAATTAACAAATTAAAAAAATGTAATTTATTAAGAACAGGTATTTAAGTCTTACTGCACTTAATACAAAATTAAAAATAAAACAAATGACTAAACTGAAGCAGAAACCAGACTTATAAATAAATAGTCAAAAATAGTTTATCAATGCTATAAAGATATGACTGCATATTTTGCTGAGTCTTTACTATTATTATACTTTCATCGATAAATCTTTAAATATATTTTCACTGACATTAATATACAGTAATTTATGTTCGGCATTATTGTATTACTTAATAAACCGATCTATTTATTTATGACCGGGCTTGCAGCCATATTACGTTGAAGGAAAGTCATGACTTGTCAGTACCTCATAGGGTGACCTCTTAGGAATACTGGGCTTACGGTCATATCATGTAGAAAACACCAGTCCTAGTACGATTATCGAAGTTAAGCAACGTCGAGCATTGTCAGTACTGGATGAGTGACCGCTTTGGAATACCAGGTGTTGTAAGCTGCGATGTGTGGGTAGTATAGCTTACGGTCATATTAGGTTGAAAAACCGCTTTTAGTACGATAACCGAAGTTAAGCAACGTCGTGCCTTGTTAGTAACTAGATGGGTGACCATTTTGGAATACCAGCTGCTGGAAGCTTGAAGCGTGTGATGTAATTGACAATAGCGCGAAATTGTTAGTCAGTGAGCCGAGTTTTAATTCCAGTTGGGTTCGTTATATTTTCCTACGCGTTGAGATTATTAGGAAAGGCATGAATCCACCTTTCCTTCCCACAGCTATAAAACTTGTATCACTCAATCATTATCTCCAAAACAAGTTCTTATAGCCTAAAAATGTTTCCTGGCTTTAAATCACCTTCAAAATGTTGATAAATCGTAGAAAAAGAATCTCTATCTATAAAAGGCAGAATGTGTGTGCGTGTGTGTGTGTGTGTGTGTGTGTGTAACGAATGCACGGTTGCAGTTTTCGACGGATTTGAAACAAAATTTACATGCACATGCTCCAAGTTAGCGGGAAGGCCAAAACCGAAATTGCATTTCCCAACTCCCATCGATAGTGGAAATAATGGATTATTTCATGCTTCTACGGCAGTTTTCATGTAGTTTGCGGCCATTTTCTACTGGCCAGAGTGAGAGCCTAGAGCTGGCTGCCACGAATAGGCAGGAAGATTCTATTGGCCAGCGTGAGAGTCAACAGCTGACTGACACGAATGTTAACTAGCATGCTAGCATGTAAAAAAATCGATAGCTGCATTCGTCACAAGTGGGAAAAATTTAAATCTGCATGGCATTTTACTCCAATTAGCTCATTCGCTTGCTTAAACTCAACGTTGATTCTGATTCCACAGAACTGGGTTGGGTGTGAAAAAGTATTTGTTGTTAACATTCTTTTTTCATTCGGTTTTTCCAGTTACGAGTCCTTTTTTAAAGCTGATCGTTTTGTGTTCATTTTGTTTAGTTCTTTTTCGTAACAGATTTAATGTTTAGTATAGGGCCTTAGAAAAAAATCGCAGTGTGAGATAGGCAAGAAGTAAGGCATGTAGCAACATCAGCACGGCAAAGGGTACTCCTTTAAAGGCAAGGAAGGGCAAAAATATTTTAAGTCAAGTGATAGCGATTGCTGTATGAGTCGTACGATTTTTGAATCAAGCACGGGCAACGCCGGGCCATGCTGCTAGTCAATCAATATTTATGGTCAGTAGAATCTTATATTATTACTATTTTACATCTACCATCAAAAAAGGTCGCCATATTTTATGTTCTTCTTCTTGTATTTGCAGTGTTCTTTCAGTACATTGGTGATCAGGGCTCTCCACAATTACTTGTCGTTTGTAGCTCGCAATAAATTTAGTCTTTGTGCCATCTCTCTTTAACTATTCAGCCATGAATTTAATCAAACTCGCCAGGGAGGTCATGTGTTGTTTTTCTCTGTCCCTCTTGCATTGAATCTGCCCTGTGAGTATCAAATTTTACATGCCCTCTTTCTTCATTACGAACCCTAGAAATGTCAACTGTCTCGTCTTAATGTTAAGTATAGGTTTCCTTTTTCTTTCCATTTTCTCGAAAACCTTGTCATTGTTCGCATGTTCGGTCCATGGTATTCTCATCATTCTTCTGTAGAAACATATTTAGGTTGCTTCAATTCTCTTTGGTAGTAATTTATTTGGGGGGGGAATAGAATATTACATATTAACAATAGAAAAATGACCCACCATTTTATATCTAGTTGTTATTAATACTAATTTACTTATGTATTTTCTTTTCACATGTGAGTCTTTAAATGTATTTTTCACTCATACTGAAAAAATATATACAAAATTAATGAGGGACTAGTTTATTCACTACAATAGAAAAACGATCTTCCACTTTACAGCCAATCAAACTTTTTTATTAATAATATTTCCCCTATGGAAATGACGGCATATTTTGATAACTTTTTACTCTTTTCCATGTAAGCCTACAAATATATTTCCGATTATTATAATATATAGTAATTATATGAGTGATCGAATTATTACATAATAACAATAGCCAAATGGTACCCTTCTTTATATATAATCGAATCTTATTAATAATAGTTTACTTTTTTCGTCAAAAATGATAGAATTTTTTGCTATTATTACAAAGTTTTTGCAAGTAAGTCTTTAAATAGATTTTTCCAATCATTATTGATATATATTGCACTTTAACGAAATCGGTTTTTTCACCTCCTGGATAAATATCTTGAAACAAACCGCCATTTTATATTACAAAGACAATGCCATCAGTAATTGTCAGTATAAGGGAGATAACTCACGCAATTCAAATGCTACAGACAAAAAATATACACTAAAAAAATGTAACTAATCTGCGTGTGTGCAATCAGCAGGCGGGCATTCACAAACGTATATGTCCAAGACGATTGTTTTCAGTTTCCATAATAGTTTAACAAAATTGGTTGTTAGTCATAGCTTAGTCGCATAATTGTTTTAAATTCAGACATAATTAAATGCTATCGAAAGTAATTTCCTACCATTTCGTTTCCATAGCTAAAAGTGGAAATTCCTTCTGTAGTAAATGTGTCAATAGACCATGAACATTGGTTTAGATATAACTGCTTTCTTCTGGGTTATTTGTTCAGTCCCCGAATCTGGTAATGTTGAAAAATCGCATATTCAGTGAAAGAAATAGATGAGCAACAGAAATGTGAATAAATACGACTTGTGAATATTAACATCCGAAATATTCCCTAAACATGGACAGAACAAAGAGTTCGAGACAAAATTCCGGCAAGAGTGCCAAGTATGACGATAAACAACTGAAGAAGGCCAGATCGTTGAACGGTTGAAACGTTGTGAGTACAACAAACAAGACGAACATGCCAACCAAAACTTCGAAGCATATAATGACTAGAAACACTAAAAAAATGCAATTCTTATACAAATGCCGTTACCAAAGTAATGATCCCAATTTTATGAAGTCTACCCATGACGTCATTGTAGCGATTATTGGTCACCTGGCGATAAATATTGCGTCCATTAAAATTTATCGACGCTTGCTGAACTTTTAAGGAAACGAAATAGTGGATTTGAACACAAGTGGAGACTGGTGCCTTTCAGTATTGTCTGTGACTTCATCAGTAGCATATCAAGGCTTCTTAACGCCCTGGTCTAAAATACTTTTGCCTCCTTCACATGGGAAAATGTATTAATTGATTCATGACTTATTAGCAACTTAATGAAAATAAACAGAATAATGCAAAAGCTCTCATAGAGTGCATATCAAAGGTATTGCCACCAGAAAATTTAAGTTAGTGGAAATAACTATAAAAATCTTAATCATTTATTCCATTAACCACAGAATATCATTTAACCAAATTTCGTAGAAATATATTACGGGCTTTTTGAGATATTTTGTTTTAATTATTAAGAACATTTCAAGATATTTTACTGTGAACATTTATCTACAACTTTAGAGAAAATAATTGCGCAGAGATCCGCCCTATATTTTAGTCAGTTTCTTTCTGGCTCATAATCAACATCCCACAAAGGTTCATTGGTATTAAGTGAGAACTTTTAAAAAATATTCCTATCATGTAGCTCGAGTAATCGTCATGAGCATAGAGAATACATTTCTGTAATATTTCAAGCTGACGTTTTGTAGAAGAAAACAATAATGACGGTGCCTTTACCAATTTCATAAGCGATGAAGAAAGGAAATCTAAATCTAAACCATTGAAATCCTTTGTTTGTCTTCGAGTTTCATCGTTCACCTACAGACTCTAAGACTTTTCTGCATTGTGGAACTCCAAACAAGAATAACCGTGAATAGTGGTGACTTCATATCCAACAAATGGTACGCCCTCTAATGACATCAATAGTCTAAATTTCCAGTGTGATCACTCAGCGTAACAGTTTATTTAGCAATACATATACAGAGGGGGGGGGGCACTACGACTTACCACGTGGTTCCGTTCCTAAGAATCGAAACAACGGGATTTCCGTGTAAGTAAGAACGTACCTGTAATTTAACTTCCATGGTGATGGATTGCCTTTTCTCCGAGAGACTGCGATCAGTAAGGTTTGTCCTACCTTAGCAGCCATAATGAAAGCCATTATGTTTCCACAAACACAACACAAACGAAAAAGAGCGAATGCTCAACAATTTAATGTGGCGTACAACCAGGAAACACGATTTATGGAGATTGCGTCGTAACCACGGATGGTCGTAGGGACTGTTATAACCCGGTGGCTTACTGTATATAAAGTGCGATAGATAAGAGTTTCTCAAACCTCTTTCATTTAGGACCCCTTTATATCAGATCATTTGTTTTATGGACACACCGACAACGTTACAAAAGAAATAATTTCTAAGACTATAGAATGAGTCTTTAGTTGTAATCAAACAACTAAAGATAAAAGCAAATATAGTTCCAAAATAAGTTTATTTTTAGTTGGGTGGATATACCTCTTTATTTTGACACAATATGTCAAGTCACTATTTAATATACTCGACAGTTTACAAAAATAAATAAAAATGGTGTTTGTCTATTGACGTAATAATTTTGTCTAGTGACGTAAAAAAATGTAATTTATTAAGAACAGGTATCTTAGTCTTACTGCACTTATTACAGAAATAAAAATAAAATGACTACAACGTAACAGAAAACAGACTTATAAATAAATAGTCAAAAATAGTTTATCAATGCTATAAAAACATGACTGCATATTTTGTTAAGTCTTTATTATTATTATTATACTTTCACCGATAAATCTTTAAATATATTTTCACTTACATTAATATACAGTAATTATGTTCGGCATTATTGTATTACTTAATAAACCGATCTATTTACTGCTGACCGGGCTTACGGCCATATCGCGTAGAAGCATCAGTTCTCGAACGATCGCGAAAGTTAAGCAACGTCGAGACTTGTCAGTGCCTAGATGGGTGACCGCTTTACAATAACAGGTGCTGTAATTTTGGATGGAAGAGTAGTAGGGCTTACAGTCTTATCACGT